AAATAGGTCCAAGTAGGGCTATTGGAGCCATCAAAGTGAATTTAGAACACTTTGGAAATATTGGAAAAAGAGCTTGTATTAAATTATTTAAAATACAAATAAAAACCAATGTATTATCTCAATTGATCTTGATATTTTAGACTGACCGGAGTCCGTATTTCTACAAAGGGCATTGGGCCAAAGGGCATTGCCATTATGATTAGGGGAACACTGAGAGTCTGGAACTTTGAAAGTAAAATTATCAAATAAATTTATCCTATAAAATACCGTCAAAAAGAATTGTATTGAATTTGTATCCAATAGAGTATAAGTTCTGCGTGCTTTTCCTCCTGTTAGGATACTAAAGACTCTGGAGTCTGGAGTCTGGAGTCTGTAGTCTGTAGTCTGGAGTCTGGTATGTATTGGACTTTGGAGTCTGGACTTGGTGAGTCTAGACTTATCTCTTGGGAGTCTGGGATTGGGACTCTGGGAGTCTGGACTTGGGAGTCTGGACTTGTCTCTTGGGAGTCTGGGCTTGGGACTCTGGGAGTCTGGACTGGACTTGGGAGTCTGGAGCCTGGAACTTACTCCTGGGGACTCCGGGGTGTCTGCCACTGTCTGGACTCTGGTCGCAGACTACTAGAGAGACTCTGGAGTCTGGCTGGCAGAGTGCAGACTGACACAATTTTGATATCAAGATTCAAGAGGCAGAAGTGAAATAAAAAACAAAATCAATTTTTTTAAAATCACGCAGTGCGGTGCTCACTGCTCACTGATCAGTGCTTGTGCTGATTGCTGAACTGCTGAACTGCTGACTGCTGATCTAACCTTATAAAGTTCAGGAGTGTGGGCAAAAAGTTCGAACTTAAACGTAAAGCCGTAGCTTTTTAAAAGTTCAAAACTTTTAAACGGGACATTTCAATAGTAAATTTGAGAATCGTGCACTCCTAAAGTTGTTCTTTTTTGTGAGAATTTTCGGGCTACGAAATCGATGAACCGCCAATCAGAATCCGTTAATTAGATGTCATTTTGTCACTTGACATTTATCGCCAGAGCCCCTGAATCCCCGACCGACCGTCAATAGGGATAATAATATTTATTTCAAAAATGGCAAGTATGTATGATACAATGTATGAACATATGGTATGGCTCTCATAGTCG